CAAGAGAGTGTATATATGAGCACAGTTAAATAATTTCAAATTACTATGGATCTTCAAAGACACTCATCTTGGGTGGCACAAAATTTAAAAAGTGCTTGTGGAAATTTCTTGCCATAGGTGAACTGCCAATCATACTTAGAAAGCATTTTTCATTAAAAATATTTTTCTGGATCTCTGGGGAGAAAGTCACATTATTAGAAAAATAAAAGCAAAGGGTTTGATTCCAGAGGTTTTGATCGACTTAAACTGAAAATAGAAATAAATAAATAGGAGATCTAACACTTATACTGAAGGGGGAAGGCTCCAAAAAACTGTAGCATGAATAGGTGTCCCCCAAGTCTTCCCAGACCACAGTTCACCTGTGTCTAGGGCAATACCTTTGAAGCATGCTGTAACCATGTTATACAGTGAAATAAAAGTCATTAAATAAAGGCCAAGATTCTCAGTTAACTTGAAACTTGATAGATGACAGGAGAAAGCTGCACATGCCAAGGAAGAGCAGGAAATGAAGAAGGCTTTGCCATCAGTGTTAGAGAGGGTATATGAGGAAGGATATCGCTTGAGAGATGAAAGGAGTCATTATGGATCAGAGGAGAAGGAAACGTACCAACTAGGCTAATGCAAGGCTAGAGAAGGTTACAAATACATGGGGACAACTCTAAACATAGTCTTGAAATGCAAGCAGGCTCCCCAGGACTGTCAGGAAGCGGGGAAGATCCGAGTAAATGCTAAATTATTTGGATGTAGCAGACTGTGATGCAAGACCAGACTGGTACCGCAGACAAAACACTGTAGGATATGTCATTATTAATTATCACAAAGAACATGTAAGCCATTCAATATAAAATACTACCACAGAACTAAGATAAAATTAATTAACTCTCCACTTAAGGGTTCAAACTGGTGATGTTCCTTGCCAGTAAGGTGAAATATTTAGGGTCTCTACGTTTTAAATGTCATTTTACAAACACTGTGGGAAATTAGACTTCGGTCTCTGTGAGAACTGAAAAGATTCTCTGTCTTGCAAACAGTGTGGAATACTTCCAGAAATATTTTAAAATTTTGTTTTAAATGGAAAAACCTCAAGTGCTTTCATGAGACATTAATGAACCACCAAAATGTTAGTCAGTCCCATCTAGCATTTCAGAACAATGCAATTATCTGAACATCAGTGGTTTTGTTAAGATACCTCTGTTAGAAATGTTGCCTAAACATTAGTTACTAATATTCTGAAATTCTAAGTAGAAATACAAGGTTTCCCAATTTGCCTTTCAACTATGCAGCATTTATCTGTCTTGTCACAACATGAATCCCTTTTGGGTGAAAGCTGTTGATTTGAAGGTTAAAATCACCTTGCTAGGCCCTAATGTAATTTGTTGGAAGTTGGCCTTGGGAAACTTTCTGACACTGCCTACATATGCTCTTCATTGGATATTCATTGAGCAATGATGTCTGAAGGGCTGAGTTCTTCACCTCCATGATCATTATTAGCTATGGCATTTCTTAACAGGCTCTGCAATGTCAGTTCTTTGCAACTCAGGTTATACATTAGCAACCCACACTTTAGAGCACCAGACTCACTCTCCCACCACAGACAATACTGCTAAAGGAGAGCATATGCCAGGTTACACTCATAAACAGAATTTATTAGTAACCTACATATATGCCAATATTGAATAAATTATTTATTCTCTCTTTTAATCATGTGAAATGAGGTGCACAGCATACATTTTAGGCAAGGCTAAATGAGAACTCCCTGACCTCATTAAAGAACTTGTGGATCTACTACAGAAGTAATTCAACAGAAAATCTTTAGAAGAAGAAATCACGGGATCCACAGCTAGTGATCTGCTGATCGAATAAGAGGGGGGAAAGTGGAGATAGCTAATGCCATTTCTGAGATGTTCAGTACCATTATTTCAATCTTCTCATCCCTCAAGATGCATTTTTGCAGGCTGTCAAACATAAAATCTTATGAGAATACTTATCCTCAGAAGATTTTAATCAGATGATTCTGCCAAAAACCATAGTTCACCTGACACTTCATCTTGCTCAGCAATATTCTCACCAAACTACTGTGCTCTGGAGGTTGACAGGTGTTTTTACCAGATGCCCACAGACATCCTTAGCTTTGAAGGTCACTTCTTCAAAACAGTGTCCAGCAAACTGCAATCACATGATGATGAACTGAGAAGAGCCAAAATTCAGAAAATCTTAAAATAATCAACCTATATTTAGTTTTATCTTGACACAAATACTGGTATAATATACGTGAGGAAGCTACCCATTCATTATACCAATATTTGTGTCAAGGTGATCTATAAATTTTAGATGAAACTATTGTCATTATTATTGTCATTCTACATTATTTGTAGGAGCTTGAAACTTTTCCTGAAAGTCTGAGTTTGAAACATAGTATGCTTGAAGTGAGCCCTGTATGCAGAAATATCTTGACAAATTAAATATATCTGGGGCAAGATGGAGCACTCTCAAAGGCTTGGGAATCAGCCAGAAGCACTGACTCATCTTATTTTCAAGCAGTGCTGAGCTGAGGTTTGGGGATGGGCACGCTGGCTAGCTCAGGAAATTTCATCAGATGTTGACATATGACAGTGGTTTACTTTTTATACATATACATATATATATATATATAAGAAATAAGCTCTAGGGGTGTCCAGTATAAGCTCAAGAGCACTGGTTGCACCTTGCTGCCTCTCTTTGCTTAGGTTACTGTCTTCTTGTAAAAGCCTGAAGTGGGTATTCAAGAAGTTCGGGAAGCAGTGTGACCAGTGGTGAATTGAGTGGCTGCAAGCCCAGAAAGCAGGGACGAGCTGAAGAGGACTGGGTTTGGGAAGAGGTCAGGGGACACAGACTTGTTTGAACTGCATTTTAAAACTTCTGGCTCTGGCATGATTTTTTCTCTGCTCTCAAAGTATTAGAAAAATACAGCAATTTACATATAAAGCACTTACCATATTTTGTTTTCATTGGGTCCACAAAGTTCATACCTCATGTCAACTTTTTTGCCAACAACAGTTTATGAAATAAAAACATTCATTAGAAGGGATGTTGGAATAAAGTACAACAAAACAAAACCTGTGGCTGAGATTTCACAGGTTTAAGGTGAGATCGAATCTGCAGCGAAACAAACTCATGGGAGATTCCTGTTTATTTTCATACAAAATGAATTGGATGCAAATTCATTACTGTTTAAAGAATGAATCTCAGTGACAGTTTGTCCCTGGGGGCATTGAAAAGTATTTTAAATCGTCCTGATATTAATTATTCAGCAAAAGTCTTTATCATATAAAATGACTTTAATAATTTATGCTAATGGGGCATTGCAGATGTAACTGTAGGACTGGTCTGGAGGAGCTGAACACTGCCTGCCTGCACATTTATAGCTGAATTGTAGTTACATGTGTATGGCATTTGATATGCAAGGAAAGCATCTGTGATCACCTCTCCCTGCCCCTCTCCCTGCATGTGCATCTACAGTGCTACAAAGGCTCTCACTAAATTCATAAATAGCCCAACTTCAGAAATCTAGTAATCATGGTAGTTTGCAAAGAATTAAATGGAGATACAGATTAGAGTTTAAATTTTCTGGATTAAGTGTCAGAGAAGAGATAATGATCAGATGCAAGTCCTGGGTATCTCAGCTATATTTGGTGCAGCACATAAATACCTAAGAAGTAAGAGAAGAGAAAGCAAGAGAGATGTAACTGCACACTTTAAAGTGCCCACTAAGGGATGACCGAAACAGGTGTCATTTGGTTTTGAACTCTAGTGGTGAAAGGGCTTGCCCAAAAGCCCAGTTATGGTGGAAAAATGGCTTTAAGTGATTTGAGCATGGAAATGAAAGACCCTGAAGACAAGAGTTGAGGAGAAGCACTCCTTGATTCCTGTTTTGCTGGAGAGGGAAGGATGTGCTACTGTATTGCAGTAGCCTGGAAAGTCATGGATTTATACAATCTATAGAAATAGCATAAATGCATATATGGCCTCTCTGCATTTCTAGGTACTGGAGTGGAATTCCCTTGCATGCTCTGGGCAAACAAGGAGATGTACAGCTCTAAAAGAATCCCATGTTATCCAAGATCTCAAAGGTTTTGTGACTCTGACTCACAAAAACACCTTCTGAATTTTAATCCTATTCTACTTCTTGGCATGGGATAAGGACAAAAGCTCAGTGCTTTCCTCTAATATTCAATGATTCAGTAGAACAAGCAAAACAGAACTATGCAAATTTTATACAAACATTTTTAGGCTTTGTGGGTCTTCTTCCCTCTGTCTCCAATGGAGGTCAGCTCCATAGACTTTGACACCTTCTTGGTTCATGATATAAGGCATGAAATCAGAATGGTCGCATGTGCTTGCATACATCTCTTCATGTCAATTCAGAAGAAACACAAGGAGAAAGTGAATGAGCTGTGAGTTCCCCTGCATGAAAATTCATCTGTGTTTTAGCTATTAGTTCCATTGCAACTTTAGCATCGATATCCTCTATGGAATGGCAAGAATTCCACTGCATGCAAAACTGCTGCTTTAAAGCCAGGATGTGAAGCTGTGTTCATATCAGTAAATTTTCCATCTGAGTGCTGCCAAAGTCAATGTTGGATGTGTCTCCAGTGTGCAGCAGCAAATATTTATAGGTGAGTGAAATTGCCATGCCTGGCCTTTAATGTTGCTATGAACAAAGATTTTCAGATTCAGTCCCTTACTTCTTGCTCTCAGTTCAGTTTGTACAGCTTGAATTTTCTATATAGTCACAGTATGAATCTTTTTACTTCATAGCTATCCTCCTCACACAGGTACTAAAAGGCAAAGCTACATGATTTTTATAAGCCTCCTTCTTTAGTTACAAATAAAAATACAGTCTCACTTTCACAGAAAACAATGCAATCAAAACAATAACCCCTCTACAAATATAACAACATGTTCTACAGGACAAGTATCGATTAAAATAAAAGGGCTTTTTAAACACCTTTAATTCTTACCAATTCCAGTAGTTATTGATTCTGCATCAATGTCATTAGCCTTTCTCTTTGCCACTTCAGCCAGTGCCAATTCACCCTTATCTAGAGCAAGGTAATGGATGTCCTTTGGAAATAAAGAAGAAAAAAGATTAATCTAAAATGAATCTCAAAGAAGCAACAAAAAGGATTTTGAAAGAAAGAGGTTCTTTTATTATTTAGATCACAAACACAGATGGAACTGATGAACCTACCATTACATTTTAATTCCCTCCAACACAAATATGTTTCCTTACTTGTGCTGTTGAATACAATAATGAATAAAACACTGACCAATCATGTTCTGATAAAAGCAAAACTATTGACTCAGTGTATAAAAATAAACAAATCTTTCTACTTTTAATATAACTTCTATTGAATTAAAAGAATGTTGATAGGAGGTGGAACTGTGTAAATCAGATCTGAAGTACTGGAACTCTCCTGGCTGACAGCCTGTATTTGGAGCATGGTAAATGCAGATGAGGTGCTTAAAGACATGGTCTAGTGGTGGACTTGTTAGTAATGGGTTAACAGTTGGACTCAATGACCTTAGAGGTCTTTTCCAATCTTAAAGATTTTATGATTTGAAGGTTTCCATCTTTTAGGGACTAATTTTTGTTTGAATGTTGTCATACACGCACTATTGAAGGTCATTACCCTCACTATTCTGTGGGTAAAGTGATGATGGTTCTCCCAGTGCTGATACTGGAAGTAATAAGAGCAATAAGAGTAATAAGAGAGTGGTTCTAACATCCACTGGGTCGGCATGATTCCTGAGCCACTCCTGAACAACAAGGGGCTTTCCAAAAATGTTGTCTAGCATGAATAATTGGTAACACTCTGGATCTAGTCTTTTATCTAGAGTCAAAATTCAGAGGGGTGCAGCAGGCAGAAAATGATGAAGCTTTGTCAATGAAGAGCTTGTGCTCTCTGTTTATCAAAGCAGATTTTATTTCAGGTCTTAGTTTTGTCCATTTTCCGGTTTGAGTAAAGAAATGTAAAGGTGTTACATATCCATCATTAACTAACCTTGTAAGAAATAAAGATTAGCAGTAGGTTTGTAAGTGGCTTTCTTCGTTGTTCCTCATGTTGCTGGTCATGAAGAACAATAAAAAAAATAGCCTTTGCCTCATCTCTAAGCTTTAGAAAGAAAAGATTACAGACATTAAATCTCCAAATTAGACAATTTCAGATCAAATTTAGGTGTTCCTCATTCAAATAAACCATCAAAAGTGGATTTTTCTAAGAATTTATAACTCACTGAGTAGAATTAAGCTAGAAAACTAAAAAACAGAAAGAAGAAGCACCAGAATACAAAGTGCTTTAAAGAACGACAGAAAAAAATAAATTATCTGAATATTCATGATGGATATTTTTTCACACAATTACCTAAGAGTTTACAAGTCCAAAGATCACATGTCTCTCAAACACAATGGTGACAATAAAAACAATTTCCAGCTGCCTATCAGGAGCTTGCTGAAAGGGCTCTATTTTATCATTTAGCAGTTTGCTTACTTTTTGGACTACTTCCCTTTCCCCTCTTTGTGACTCACAGAGCTGGCCGTTGGTGAGCAGAAGTCATTTGAAACACGATGTGCATTTGTCTATAGGATATTTCTGGGCAACACTCCAATATTTCTTCGAAGCATGCACTCTCCTCATCAGTGTATCACCCAAGATCTGACAGTTTTATTAAAGTGTCTTTTCCTTGCATTTTTTGCTACCTTTGGTACATGGGATGGCCTTTTGAATTTACAGCAACTGAGAGCTGGAATGCACTACAAAAGCATTTCAAGTTAACAGCCTTTCCACTGCTTGATCTTTTCCATCAGAGATTGGATCAGTCACTGTCCAATAAATGGAGCTGTTGTTCTTGACATTATGTCCTTTCAGTTTTATTTTTTTATTGAACTTCGTAGGAGATGATATTAATTGATGGACTTGGATGTGACGTGAGGGTTAAGCTCAGGGAGAGACCCAGCAGTGTTATGTGTCTTGCTATGGCATCATCTAGTGATGCTATAGCTATAGTTTTAAGCCTTTTTTTTTTTCTTTTTCGTTTCTTTGAAAGAAATTAGCCCTCAGATAGCATTCTCTCAAGCTTCTTTTCAGTCTCAAAATAAATAATGGGAATGCTGTAGAACCCTGTTTGGTGAAATGGACATTATCTTAGAAGTTTCAGGTGACGAGCACTCAATGTTTGCATCCTCCTCAACCTCTGTTATATCTATTCCTCTCTCTCATTTCCTTTTTATTCCTTCTCTGCTCCATGTTAATAAACAGACTTTTTTCTTTCTCATTTTGCTTATGTCATCAGGTATCTTTATTTAGACTACTATTTCTTCTTGAAATCCCATTAAATTATTTGGGAATAAGGTGATGTGACTCCTAGAGCTATCTGAGGATTTAAAAATTGATAAAAGTGCTTTAAATACATGCAATCATACATAAAAATCAAAGTGTATATTAGTAATTGCATTTTGCCCTACATAAACAATATATGGGAACCATTCAGTATTACGCAGAAGTGAGGGATGCACAACCCTTGGTTAGCAATAGCATTGCTATGTTACTAATACCTAGAAGGACTGTAAGGGAACGGGTTTTCATCTAATTTTCACACAATATTAAGCACAATGAAGCCAAATTCCCTAGAAATTACCATGGCACAAATAAATACTTCTAATGACCTATGCATGTTTAAACTTCTTGAGTCCTCTACTTAATGGACTTGAAGTAGTACCACTGTTAGCTTATTGTAAAGTTTGTTCATTAGTGACTGACTTAGACAATGAATTAGTAGAAGAGCATTTCCCCAGAGGAGGCACGAATGTGTGCTGCTTGTAGCATAATTTAGGGGAGACTATGAGGAATTCCAAAGGTAATGCAAGCAGAACGAGGACATTAAAGAACTGGTTTTGATCTCACAATGACATAAGCCAGGAGGAGCTCTTTGGAAATATACATTTATGATTAAGGGCACTGGTAGGATGGGAAATGAAGAGTAGGTGTTGAGAGAGGAAAGGAAAGGCAAAGAGTAGGAAAGGATGGAGTTAATTGCTTTGCAAACACTGAAAATCCTCTTGAAGAAAGTTGGAGAGACTTTTTGGTGAGAGTAGAATATGTTATCTTTCACCTGTGGAGGCAGGTACAGCCCCTCCCTCTTGCTAGCAGCTGTTCACCCATCTCAACATCCAACACTGGTGTTCCCAACCTGGCACAGAGGTGCTCCCTCAGTCCTGCCACCAACAGAGGGAAGGAAAGAGAAGAAGATCACGTAGGAAATGCTCTCAGTCATATGAGAGAGGGCCTTTGATGGCAAATGCTGGGACATTTATTCTGTCGGAATGGCTAAAATCAGGGAATATGTATTATATGTACACTGGGAAAGCCCTTGGCAAAAACCTTTAATCTGCTCCAGACATACTACAGTCCGAATCTTATATGTGGCTGCAGCAGTGCCTAGCATGATTAGGTATAAAATTTGTATTGAAGAGGCTACATTCAATAAAGAGAGAAAAAGAAAGAGATTATCTAAAAAGACAGAAAATCGAAGGGAGTAAACATAGAACATGCAATGAATTTCCTAAAAGTCTGATATTTCCATCATGTTCTTTTGATGCATACTTAGGAAAGTTTATCACAGTATTCACATCTTTCTAATTAGATGGAACAAGCCAGATAATTAGAGCCGTGAAAAAAACATCAAAAGGTTCACACAACTTTTTATATAATTAGAAGGGAATTTTCATAACCCCTAAAAGTAGGATTTAATTGTGTAATTTAACATACAATTTAAATATCAAGATCAAACTAGCAGGGCAAGTGACTTAATGGGATAAATGATATTAACATCTAGTGTCAAAGCTTAATTTAAACAACAGAATGTCTTCATTATGCAAAAGAGTCAAGCAAACGAATCGTTCAAAGGGCCTTTTTTTCAACAGGCCCTTTCCTATTGTTTCTTTGAAAACAATGAAATCAGCTATGGAGCAGCAACATGCTGAGAGACCAGGAGAGCACGACTGGCTTTGTCCATCTGACCTCACTGTGACATTGTGGTGCAAGATCTTATAAAACAAGAACCTCCTGCAGTGCTCACACAGAGGACCTTTTAAGAGCTGGTTAATTTTACTTTTGTAGCTAATTAAATGGGAAGGGGCAGAGAGTGCATGAAATGTTAAAACCCTTGTGTTGATGCTGCTGAGCTTTGTTGCTTTAAAAGTACCAGCAGAAGCAGTTATAATCTGTCACTTTTCACAAAACCCCAAGAGACAAACTAAGAGCATTCAGGATCCCCAGGACATGAACAGTTCTTGCGTCCAGGACTCAGCAGTTGGACTTAAAGGAACAGACTAGAAATGTATAAGCTTATTAAAGTGAAAAATGACATTCATTCACATCAGGTCAGATGAAGAAAGGGAAAGTTTAAAAACACATACAATAGTTCCTGGAAAATTAAGAATGGCCTGTAGGCTGGTGAAAATGTCAGTGACTCTGAAGATACTCCATTCCTACTGATGAGTTTCATGATGGCAAAGGTAAAACAGTTCTGTCTTCAGTATATGTCCAAGACTGCAAACGACCTGGAACTGTTTTAATGTGTACAAAAGCTGACAAATAATATCCTCCAAGACCCTCTGTCTCCAGAAACAACTCACCATGAACAGGTCCCGAGCACCGATGTCAACAGCAAGCAAAAACGCTTTTTCAAACCTCTGATACCTGAAAGAAAAAGGAAACACATTGCTTGCTGAGGTTAATTTAAGAGCTGCATCAAATTTTGCTCATGTACAAAGTCCTTCAATGCTCACCAAAAGTGATGCCAAAGCTTTATTGGGGAACCTTGATAGGCTCATATTCAAATTGCAGAACTGTGAGGTAGGACAGTGACTACCCTTAACCTTCTTTGTTTAAAATCTTCACCAAATGGTTCAGTGTTGAGTCCCATCAGATCTGGTTGAATGTGAAGGGAGCTGAAGATCTTAACAAATCTTTACAAAGATAGCAACCACAACACAGATAAACAATATCCCCAGCAATGCTGGTAGGAATCTCAAAATCCTCTACAGAAAACACTAATGCCAAAATTCACATTACTTCAGAGGTCCCTGTAGAAGTTTGCACTGAGTTTTGTCCTTGCAGTCCCCTTGACACAGCTCTCTGAAGATGCTAATCCAGTTGAGTCACGAATCCTCAGGGACTAAAAGAGGTAGGGAGGTGATACTCTTTTGTGTTGTAACTACCTTAGCCCAGTATTAGCACAGACTCCTGAGAGTTTTCTGAGATCCTACAGTGAAAAAGATTGCACCAATGAAGTATAACAATGGGGAAAAGAGCAAAATCACAAGCAAAAATTACCTCCACGTGTGCTCTAGAAGGTACCACCCAGAGACACAGTAGAGCAGGAAGGGGGCAGCACGAATGTGGAACTTCATCTTTAAGGACATTCCTTTGGTGGGTTGAGACTCTGCTGAACAACAGCTCCTTCCATTTATGGTGACAGACCAACCCCTTCATCCTACCCAGACACCACACACCATCTCCTGGGCACATACCAACACGGGATGGAGGGACTGGGCAAGAATGTATCCTCCTGTGTGCAATTCCACAGAAGCAGGAGGACATGAGCCATCCATCAGAAGCTTTCTGAGGATGTATAAAGCATTGCACTGGCACATGCTAATCTCAATGGAAAATTCTGCATTGGGCTATTGTTTCTCTTATACATTATATACTTATACATTATGTGACATTGTATTATGAGAAAGTGATTCTATCTGTACACATTTTCCCCTACTGCACATTTTTAACTTTTTAAAATTAGCTACGAAAATAGATTTGGTGACTATTTTTAGATATGCAAATACCCAGATTTTATTTCAGTTGAGAGGTAGAAGATTGATTACATAAAGAAAAATCTTGTATTTGTCCCATTACGAAGTAGGTAAATTTTCCCTCTTTCCACCTGTTAACAATTTCAACAATGGATCAGTTGTAGACACTCGAGGTTTGGAAGGAGATGACTTCTTTGCCTCAGAGGGGAAAAAACAGCATTGTGGATTTATCAGGGTTAGAAAGGTGTAGGCTGTGCTTGTCAAATGAATATTGTCAGACAGCATCCCATGGATGAGAATTTGTACAGCTCTGTACCTTGGTGGTGTCGTAGGAAACAGTGGGCAGTGCTGCACCTCCTCCTCAGGCCGGTGTGAACAAGAGGAAAGATGGGAATCCTCTTTTGCCTGGGTGGGTAAAGTAATCCCATATGATGCACCACACCGGGATTCCTGCTCCCAGCCAAAGCCTCAGCGGTTTCCTGGCTCCCTCCTGTTACAGCCTTATCACTCTCCTCTCTTCTACCACACACTTGGAATGATTCAGCAGATTGCAAGATAGAACCAGAGAAGACTTTTCCTCAAGGAATAACATTCGTGACAAGAAGGCATAATATGTTAGCTTAAGTAGAAAAGGAAATGCTTTCTCCAGGTGAGGTTCCTAAGAGCTGGAGTGGGGAGCCCTTCCCTCCCTAAAGCTAATCTCCCTGCTGTGCTTTCCAAGTACTAATTTGCAGCCCTCCTCACAGAACCAGTTTAAGGGAGGGGAAGAGATAAATTAACCTCTTGATCACCAGGGAACAGGCAGTGCATCCCTGTATTTTCATGCTTGTCTATGTATCTGAAGCTTTTCAACATGATTCTTGTGATGGATTTTCCATCAAAATACATTGTTTTGCAATGATGATTTTGAAGCTATGCTTTAATTAAGAAAAAATAAGTACATTTTAAAATATGTATATCTTGAACAGCTATCACGTTTATATTTTTTCCTGGCATAGTTTTCTTTTTACATTATGGATTAAATACACATTCTTAGTACTTAGAGGGGAAATTGTAGCGTGAACAGAAACAGCTTTTTGACTGGCTAAAAAGAATATCTGTATCATTATTTTGTATTTCCAAAGTTATCGCTATATAGACTATTTGAATGACATTTGCTTTAGCCAAGGAAAAAATGCCTGCAACCAAAAAATATAAAATAACTCTCTCATTTGATTGACTTGCAGAACAGAATCATGGCCTTAAGCTGTAATTTCTTTGCAGTTTCAGAAAGATTTTGATTATTTTTCCTTTAATCAACATACATACTTTGTCTCATTATGGCCCCATTCATACAAGTGTGACGTTAACTCATTTTTTTGAGATCTGTACTAAGGAAAAAAAAAAGGGAAAAAATACTATCTAAGAAATGCTCTTCACAAACCAAGAGTGTTGCAAATAACAATCACAGTTACTTCATAATTTATTATAAATTGAATTGCTTTAAAAGAAGGCAGATGTTACAAAGAAGAGTGAGAAGTTTGCTTTACTTAGGCCAACAGTATTAAATCAGTCAGGATTATCCAGAATTTTTAAACCTAACTTTACTAGAAGATAATTGTTATTCTGAAACCCTTTGTTATGAAAGTTTTGTTGGTTTTAATGTACAAAAAATATTAGAGAGAGGTCTATATAGCATGAGACCAACCTCAAGTTAATAATATCCATTTTATAAGCATGTTTTATCCTAGGAAGATCTCTTACTGTTGTTAGCCCACCCAGTTTATCAGCTCCTCAAACAAACAAAATACCTCCCAAGTAAAACGTTCCCCATTTTGTTCTTGTGCTACAGTCACCAGGTACAATATTTGCTCTCTAAAATGGAATTTCCAGGGCTGTGGTGTTGAGTAGTGTCTTCCCAACCCCTGCCTCCACCTTAGCTTGGCTCCCAATAACTCTAGCAATCAAGACTTATATGTGTCTTGAAAGAGAGAGAGAGAAGGAAATCAACCTGCAAACCATGAAGTTCTGCCACTTGTTTGGTCAAAGTGACAGGCAATAGAGATATGACCATCAAGGTCAGAACTCTGACACTGCAATTAACTATGTAGGACACATAGGAAAACATTTCCTTGCAAGCCATTTAGTAGATACAACATTACCTTCAAATTCTCATATAACAAAAGAATATTGGTATTATATGCACTTCGTTATGTATTCTAAAAAAGCTTAAAAATATTCTGTTAGTGTGGGCAAGGAAATAAATTCATATTTCATATATGAATAATATAACTACAGGCATGTAGGTCAAAAATGGTCAAGATAGAGAGGAATCCAGTCTTGCTTTCCATGGTGAGGTGACAAACCTGCTGCCTGCCTGTATTTTGGGAATATGATTTAACTTAAAAGACGTCAGGAAACAATTTTATTTTAAAATAAAATATATAAGTAATTTAAAAAATATATAATGTTATCTGTAACTTCAGAAAGGCTATTCTGTTCTCTGACATAAATAATAAGAGAATCAAACGCCTGGGATTTCCTTCTGTTGGATGTTCATATATAAAGTAATTTGAAATACTGTTGATCAAAAGCGTGTATGGATTGCAGCCTGCAGAGAAGGGAAAAGAAGTCTCTTTGGTTTTTAGAAAATGTTCTACAAAGATATAAAAAGGCAAAACTTTTTCATCTGTATTCCACAACTCCTAAATTGAATGTGGTCATTTAAAGATAGAAATGCAGTTTTTGGACTGAAAATGGTCAACTTGAAAACGCTTGTAATATTTAGCCATTATATTACAGTTTCTCCAGTTCCTGGTTCCTCCAAGAACCAGGAAAATAAAATAAAAATCATATGGAGGGAGGAGGAAGGGAAGGGAGAGGGAGCTCATGCAGGCAAGCAATATAGTGCAGAAAAGATGGAAACATTTCTTTAGGGACTAGTTACAACCAACAAGCCTTCTTAGACATGCTCATCGACCATGTAAGCATATTCCTTGTGCTGGGCTGATAAAGGAGGGCTGCAGCAGTTTTCTTCCTTGTCTTCAATAAGAGTACACAACATTTAGAAAATAATCTGCAGGGGAAGAGCTGTGGCACAAATAATATTTATAAGGCAATCTTTTTTAATGGAAGAAATTTCAGAGTCCTCTTCATCTCACAGTCCAATCAAGAATGATATGCATTCAAAAAGTGGATATTAAATATGCACTGAGCAAACAGAACAGGAGAAAATGAATATTGAAATAATTTACATGTAATCAAACTACACTGAAATTAAGTTTTAATTGTTCAGTATTCCATGATGCATATGCAGATTTTAAAGTATTCAGAATATCAATCAAGTGTTTACTTACATCAAGCAATTGTATTTAAGCATACAAAACAGATGATGAAAATATGTTCAATCAGTTACAGCTCCCAACATTTACTGCTGGTTTTACATGATCACTTTTAATTCAGTTATTTCATTTAATATTTCAATTTAATAGCTCATTCTTTCATTCAATTTCTAGGCATCTTGCCCATTTCTTAAACACAATAATAATAATTATTCATAAAAGGAGCTGTTTCCTCATAAATTCTCATATCAGCAATTTTTGGAACAGAAATGGTTTTCATGCTTTTTTCCCCCTCAAAATATGTTGTTATTATCTGAAATATTTTCCCTTTAAATTAGCCAATATTCAAATAAAGAATAACGTCTGCAAAATTACTCTGAACCCTGTTCTGTTGGAATTCTGAGCCAGAATAATTAGAGATTATCAGATTAAAGAACCTAAAAGTTGTGTGGCTAGGTTGCTAAGTGGTTGATTTAAATCGGGACAGATTAATTTTTCACCAACTGTTGAACACACCACCACTGATTTAGGCATGTAGCTGTATGTCAGCTTCAGAGCCTATTTACAA